ACGCACCTATTACGTTTCTTGATGGCTTCGCTCACCAACATTGCGTCAAAAAATGGCAAGTTTTCACACCATGGTCGAAACGGGATTCTTTGTCAAAACAGAGTTTTTATTTTTTGCTTCATCGAGTAACTTAGTTCAACTCTTCGTAAACTTTAATCAAGCGAGCTGTTTTGCTCATCAAAAGATCAGTTGAACCTCGCATATTTAAAACACCAAGTACTATCAAAAAAATTCTCAACATGCTTCAGTAATCAGCATTACGCACTTCGCTTTTGAATAAAAATATCTTGATACAGTAATTAATTTTCAAAAGTAAATCGATATTTTGTCGGTCGGTTTTTTTGTCTTTGTTTGATTGTTTTCAATTAAATTTACAAGATATTTTGGCAAGTTTGGAACTTCGTACCATCTTTATACGTGCTTTACAAAATTTTTTGTGAACAAGATGTCAACTTGGTTGGACCAGTCAAACATTCTTGGCGTTTCGGTCAACTTTTTAAAAGAGTTCAAACAGCACCATCTGACAACATCTGGTAACGAGCTCTGCTGGACAAAGTCCGAATGCCTGGAAAAAGCGATAATTCCACGAGCCAGCGAAGGTAGATTCTGCTTATTAGTATATTTTCTATCATTCAAAATGCAGACGCGAAATCTTGAAAAAATTGAAAAGATAACCGCTTGTTCAACTTTAAATTTTGTTGGTTGTTTCAGGCAAGCTATTTTAGTTTTTTTTTACGAGAATGGAAGTTTGTTCTAACATGTGCTGTATGCAATTTGATTTTTCTTTTAATTTTACAAGCGTAAAAAAGAGCTTTGAACAATAAAAGTTCCTCTTATTTAGGCAAATGCAGTTTGGCGAAGTTGGAGGAGAGAAACATGGACTCGAAGGGCAACATTCACTCAGGGATAGCGAAAGTGCTGTGGATGTACCCCCATGACACAAGTATGGTCAGACTAATTGAAGAAGCTGCAAACTACGAAGCAAAAATTTCAAAGCAGTCTTCGCTATTTCACTACATTGATGTTTTCTGCGACAACCAATTTATAGCGGTGAGTTGAGTGAACAAATCTTCCTTGTCCTTTTTTTAAGTATCTGCAGCAGTGTATTGACGTATATTGAAAAAATCGTATAGCTTATAATCGTATAACCCGACTAGCCTATAATGTATAATCGTATATTTTGGCTTTCGTATAAAAAACGTATAGTCTTATGATTTGACATCAAAATCCCTACTCAATTACATTAACCACTCAAGGCTCATTAGATTGCTTTTACTACTCGATCATATTTTTTTGCTGGAACTTCTGTGGTTGCGCTCAGAAAAATTTTTGATGTTGGAGTTGAGCCGCCCCTAATATCAGTCGTTTCTTTTAAGTAATCTTCATCCAACTGCACCGGGGGAGGTCTTGCTCATTTTACAATCTTTCTGCTTATTTTGTACTGCTATCACTCACATCAACAACCCCTACCTCCACCATCTCTGCACTCGCAGAAAAAAACACAAGATCCGCTTTAGAGAAAAATGATAAACTTTTTGTCAAAATTGTTGGATGGCAATCAAATAATTTTTCCTAAAAACTTTAACTTCAGGTAGAAAAACCAATTATGTACGACAAGGTTATTCAATGAAAGGCTCAATTCAGTCTAATTTACTTCAGTCCTACCTAAGCTAGATTTGTACCGCTGTTTTAGGAAAATGAGCGTCAAAAGATATACAGCGACGTCATCAGCCGAGTCGACGCTCTGGTCGTGATGCTAGATGACCCCGTGAACCCATTCTTTGTTGAGACCCTCTTCAACACCTGGATACTATATCAAGCACTCAAGACATCGACCAAAGTCACGTTCATCACTCCCAAAGCCAATCTCAAAATACTAATAGACCATTTGGCCGAGAAACCAGAAAGGATATTCGAAGTACTTCGCAAAATTGTGGTTCCGAGGAGGTTTTTTCGAAAGTACTCGAGCGAGGAGTTCTGCTTCTCGCAGATGAAGGGAGCTGCAATGAGCAAAGCAGAAATTCTGATGAACAATTTCTATGAGAAGTGGATCGTCAAAAACTGTAAGTTTAATTTTTTTGTTATCCTTTGATTGTTTGATGGAGCAGGCTTCGATCAGGCGCTCTTAATTGGATAATTTTTTGACTTTTTTGATAGTTTCCTTAATATTTTAAATGAAAATTTCCCTCTAAATAAAAATCTTAAAATGAACAGCTTTACCAAACTACCATCTGATCTGATCAATTGTGCTGTTAGTTTTATATTGAAGAAAGCAATCCGAGGTTTTTCTCAGATAAGGGTTACCTATGCTTTGATGTTTTTTCGCATACAGGTTCTCATTTTTTTTTTCAAGAAATCAAAATGCTTTCTCTGTTTTATTTAATTTTGGTCTTCATAGTATAGTATATGAGCAAGATACACCATTGTTCATCTTAAGAATTGTGTGCTGTAACAGTGATGTAAAATTAGTCCCTCTAATATCAGTAATTTTAAACATTTAATGGTAAATCTGGTATGTCTTGTTCATTAGCTGAAGGTTCATAATATCTGAAGGTTATCTGATTAGGTCACAATTTTAACTTGACGTCATTATTACGCTGGTGCGTTGTTACTTTGTTATGGTAATTTTTCTTTGAATCAAATAGAGCAAATAGATGAAAATGTTGATGAAAATGATACTGTGATCAAAAACTAAGACATATCTGCTTTTTTCGCAAGAACTCGATAAATGATTTTACAAAAATAATGATACCCGAATGACGGTTTTTAGCGTGGAAAGCCATACCGAATATTTTTTGAGACATTATTAATTGGCAAAATTAAGGATGAAGTTAGCTTAAATAGTTTGCATAACCTTTTGTGCGACAATTATCATATTTTAAGAAAAAATCAGACAAACCGATTTCTCTGTTTAAATTGGCCTTTCTGGTTTAGGCAAAACCACCATAAAGTCGTACAAGGAGAAAAACGAAATCGGATCCAAGCTCCTTCTGATGTCCTTAAACGTGGGCATCTACCTCTTGACCTCCAAAAACATCCAAGATGCAGAATTCTTCCTATGTTTCTGTCTTCAAAACTACTCTGAAAACGAGCATTTTGCGAAAAAGCATGGGAAAAATGCGCGAGTTAAACACGCGCAGTTGCTACTAGCACAGAATGAGCCGGAAAAGGTTCTTGAAGTCGCAAACAGGGAACTTGAAATCATCTTAGGAAATGACTCACACCAAGACGAGGGCCTGCTCACAGTCCTAACAGTATGTAACGTCCATGTTCAAGACTTCCTGCAAGCCGCTCATTGGGCGAAAAAACTGACCAATCACAAACAGAATGAGTTAATATCACTGAAGGAAAACACAGATATCTTTGGAACAATGTCTGGAATTGGAGCGCAAAAGACGGCAAAAAGACCGGAAGATTTCACGACGTTGCAGCGTGAATACAAGATGACCTTGAACGAAAGTGACAGATACCATTTGTGTCGTATTGAGGTGGCGGAAGTGATGGCTCTTCAAGGTCAGCTGCAAATGAGGGCGGAATTATTTGAGGTAAAGCGTTGAAGATGGTTGAATACATTTTAAGAGCTTACTTTATACTGAAAAAAAGTTGCTGATTTATGCGAACTCGATCCTCCTAAGTTTCCCCTTTTTAACCACTCAATTTGCAGAGTAACCTGGCAGCATATTTTAAAAGATTTTATGAATTGACTAGCAACATTAATAAAAAGAAACTTTTTCGACCTTTGTAAGCTTTTTCGACAAACTCTTGGTAAAACTCTTAGCTTTTTTTATGTTTAGCTCTCTCGATGCCCTAAAAACCTATCATTTTGCCAGTTTTTTTGAACTGTATGAAACAGTATAAAATGAATTTTTGGCGATATGGTTTCAACACATTACTATGCTTGTTTCAGGAGGCCGTCGAATCATTTAACATGGCAACAATTTTCTATGCTGACATCTTCGGAAAAATTGACCCTCTGGTTGCGAAATCGAGATTAAATTTGGATGAAGCTAGATCGAAAGTGAAAGAAAATGCTCCACCCTAATTCCAATTAGTCTCCCAGAGACCCTAAATATATAAATTTGAGGAATTTGATAATAGAACATAATTTAGTGCGAAAAACGCATCTTTTTTTTTTTCAGTAAACAGAACGATATGTATTGAAAAAAATGGAGCAGTTCTAATTATTTAATAAAATATAAGTCATTTGGAAAGAAACTTTTCTTTAACTTTCCGTTAGTTTCCGGGCAAAGACAGTGATAGGTTTAAGGAAGTCAGGGGGTGGATTTCGGGGCGATGTCGGGGGGGGGGCTGATTTTTCTTTCACTGGCCCCTGCAACGTAGTCTCTTTCGTTTCAAATTAAGAATATACTTCTTTGGCTGGTCAACCCTAAAAGAGGGGCCTCGGGGGGCAACCCGGCTCTTTTTCTTTCCCACCAACCTGCGAGTTTTCATTAGTAATTTTTCTGTTTATATTATAGCAATGGCAGAAAAGCGGTACAAAAAGTTGGATGAAATTGAAACTGAAAATGGTTTGATGGTATGCAAAAGTAAAGACTCATATTTACAGTGCTTTTTATGTACAAGTGGCAAAATTGAGGTGATTCAAGTAGTTTGAAAATTCCAATATAACTATCATAACGAGGCCAACCTGTGTATTTTATGAACTGCAAGCGGATTGATTAACAGGATTAACAGCCTGAAAACAGATTTGTTGCGGAGGTGGCAACATTGCTACTTTTCTTTAATCTTCTTTGCTGTTTGGATTGGACGAACAATTTAAAACACTGTATCGTTTAAAATCGCTCCAAAAACAGACGTTGCGGATTCCTCAACAAGTTTTGCAAATCCGGAACAGTCTATGGAATCAACAAATAAATAATATTACATCTGTATAGTAAAACTACGCTGTCGTGGAATCCTCAAAGTGTAAGTGAAACCCGCAACTTGTAAGCGGAATCCGCAAATTGTGAGCGTAATCCGCATTTGTTTACCTTTGTGGAATCCGCTCACAATTTATGGAAACCGCTTGCAATTTCAGAATCCGGAACAACATTTTCGTCTATTTTCGCTCTTTGCGGAATCTACAACAAAAACAATGATCCAAAATTTTAAGTTACAGGAGTTTGCGCGCTGAATCCACGGCAATTTTGTAAATGGAATCCACTTACATTTTGAAAACATGTTTACAAACTTGTCTCTGGATTCCATTGGCCAGCAGACACCAAAATGTTTGCCAATCCAATGCACAGTTTGGCCTCGTAGAGATTGTATGCTGTTTAGAAATTTAGTAACTAAAAAACTATAACTCGATCCCGCTTAAAGATTGGGTTGAAAAACATCTTGGGATTTTTCTAAAATTTAGATTTGCTCCTCTCCCTCTGAAATTTTTTTCTTCAAAAACTGAAATTCGAATACCACATGCTGTTTTTCTTGTATTGTTAGTTACTGAAAGGGTTTAATTTTCCATGCAAAGTGGGGTCGTAGCTATCAGCATGCGCAATTAATTCAACTGGGTGGTGTTCTTTCAGATAAAAATCAAATTAGCCTAAAAATTTAATTGATTTCGAAAACCAATGGATATTTTAAGGGAGTTAAAGATTCCCTTCCACCTTGTTGAAAATCCATGCTAATCAAAATTTAGGTAAGCAAAACTTGAAATAGCGAATTTTCCAACTACATTCCTTTACATGGGCATGCTCATCGGTGTACAGGCCGGTTCCCTGGAAAAGTTAACATGGTTTCGAGAAGTATCAACTTGATTTTTTGTAAATTTTTGACCTGCATTCAAGTTTTTTTCCGGACTACTACTATAGTTAACAATAGTTAGAATTAACCCTTCGCTGTGTGGTTTAGGTCCATCAGTTTTAAAAATTGTAGCTGCTGTTGACAAACAAAATTTTACTCTGAATCCCCGATAATCTTTAATTTTCTACCCAACGGGCGGATGAAAAATATGTTAGTTCTACTGGATTTATCTTTTTTTTATTTCTCTCATTTCTGAGAAAGTTGGAATAATTAGCAGTAAATCAAATGATTCCGGTCCTTTTTTTTGTTTGGATTCATCTTTTTTTTTCATTTCTCTCTCGTAAAAAATGACTGGAATCATTTGTTTTACTGCTAATTGTTCCAACTTTCTCAGAAAGTGACGAAAGATTTGTGCTCTGATTTTTTTCCTCCAGACAAGCTTCGATTTTCTAAGTATCCATTTTTCACAAATCTTTTTCACCCTAAAATTATTGATCTCCGAGTTCAAGTTAAAAGATATTTTACCTTCAATCATTTTCTGCAAACTTATGAGGATTTAAAAGTGGCTAGTTTGACCTATATGCAAAATTGTTTTATTTTAATAGGTGATAATTACTTCGTGCTATTAACGCGTAAGCAACAGTGTAATCTCAGAATCTCTCCAATTAAGTTGAGGCAGCTAGCTGTATTATTTAATATGTTAGTAATGCCAAATATTTCAATAGGTTTTTTCAAAAAAGCGCGTACTGGATAATTGTCAAAAAAAATTAATTCCATTTTTTTAAATTCACAATTTTTTAAATTAAAAACTACTCCATAAACGTTTAAGGGCAATCGGAGCACTAAGGGTGTCGCTCTGATTCGAGCATTTTTTTTGTTTGTACGCGAGTATTACTTAAGCTGAACTCAAGAATGTTTTCGAAAAAAATCGTTCAAAGAAACAAAACAAAAAACTGCCGAACGAGAACATAACTTGAATAACTTGAAAATTTTCCCCAAAAATAAAACAAAAACCTAATGATTTTAATAAGAACCCAATAGCTTGTTTATAGAATCAAAGTTTTCTAGATTCAAAAATCGATATGAAAAAGGACAGCTGTCAAAATTTTTAAAGGTTTTCAAAAGAAATTACATTTTAGACAATGTACAGCTGGTCGACAATTTTTCTGATTTATTTACCCGTTGTCGGTACTTAATTGTGATGGTTATCCCGGAGGGTAGCTACTTGTTAGGTTGAAAAGCCTGTTCTAGCTATCCTGATGCAGTGAGTGATTACGTATGTATTTCTTCACTGTATCGAATAATTGAATTGAATTGAATTGACTATAAAGTCTGAATATAAAATTATGACCTCGAGATGGGAAATCCTGCCCAACAAGATATAGTAATAACCCGCGGTTGACAACTTATTCTTCGAATGTCTTTTTTTTCAAATTCTTCTTATCGCGACTGCTTAGAGAAAAAAGTAATTGCAAGCAGGTTTTATTGCGTGGAAAGCAGAAAAGCGTGAAAAGCAGATTGAATTGTAGAAATTGGACAAGTTGGAATGATTTCACGAAATCCAAATTTTCATTAATAATTTGGATTGAGCTTCAGCTAATGGGATATTTTTCAGCCATCAATTTCGTTGAAATTTGGGCGCTTTTTGAAAAACTGTCCAATCTCAATCAAAAGCATATGAGCAGTTTGGCAAGCGTTTATAGTGTTTTAATTAGGCGGAAGCAATATGAGCTTGTTAGAAAGCAGTTTTTATGACATATGAGTTTCATCTCATTATTTTCAGAGTACTTTTCTCGGAGTTAATTTGCATCCAAAGACCAGTTTACGACACTGGGTATCTTATCCCTGGATTCGCATAGGGTGATCCGGCATTCGGATTAAAAGCCGAAGCTGCTGCACGACACGACATGCAGCAAGTTTGGTAGAAGGCCTCATTGCTACAGTACGAGAGGTACACATTGCAGTCGGGTCGACTGTCGACACAACTTGCCATTCGGTTCATCGGCTGGGGTTGCGGGTTGTAGATGGGAGTCGGTTCCGAGGGTGGCGACACGACTCGAGTCGGCTGGGGCTGTCTCTGTGGCTGGTCTTGGTCGTACAGGGGATAGCTTGCTAAAAATATTTTTTATCAATTAATAAAAACTGTGCCAATTGATGGCGAGAAAAACCCGTAGTCAATGTTTTATGATTATTTTTTTAAAGTTTAGAATTAAGATAAAACAGAAACGTATTAATCAACATTGAAACGTATAAAAATATGTATGGTTGCATCGCTGTCGCGTTGAAATAAATATTGCAATTTTCGAATCAGAAAACCTATTGGACTGAACAGAAATTTTAACGGCAAATGGGGTTTTCGACAGCTCTCCCAAAACTCAATACATAAAGACCGAAGCCGCAAGAAGACATTGTTTTTGGAAGACATTTTAGTGCGCTTTCTGGATATGGACACTTTCGAAATATTTAAAGTGGTTTGGTCAAAATCGATGAAGTAAAATCAAAAATGAAAACATGGGGAGTTTTGGCGTCTAGAAGTGATTGGGATGGGAAAGGGGGTGCAATATATACAATTATGTCAAATCATGAAACATTAATTTATCTATATTGCCAATCGGTAATTAGCAGGGGAGGTTAATGATTATTTGTCTTTAAATTTCTGAAGATTTAAAAATACAGGGGCGGATTTAGTGGAGGGAGGGCGATTCGACCCCGTCAACGCCTAAAGAATTCCCTGTTTGGTACTATTTTACGCTATCCAGTTTTGACCGATAGACTCTAAAAATTTTTGTAAAAGCGAATTTGGCGCCAAAATATAGTAATTTTGAGGCGGAGAGCCCGCCAAAAACGCCACATTTTCCCTCGAAATCTTTGGAAAAGTACCCTCGAGAAAATTTTTGATCTGACCCTGTACTATAATTGCCTGCAGTTAAGGCTTAAAACTAGTTGAACTCAAACTAAAAGAAATACCGTCGACATTAATGTAGAAGTAGGCCACATCTGAAGTGTACCCGTTGGTTGCCTCGCACCTGTAGTATCCCGTCTCCCCCTCCGACCACGCGTACTTGGTCCACGACTCACCAGTAGACAGACGCTCAGAGTCCCGCGACCACGTGATACTCGGCTGCGGGCTTCCCTGGGCCTTGCAGTTGAGTGTCATGGCCGCACCCACTGGCATCGAGATCTGGCTTGCGGGTCGCTCGGTGATGCGCACTCGTTCTGCGTACGGACAAGTGACCAAATTATTCACACCAGTAGTAGAGGACGAACCCGCACCTTAAAGACCTCTTTACCCAAAGCGTCGAAAATCACCAACAAATTAAAGCCGAATTTGCCTGTTTTCAATTTGTAGTTGTCCCGCCTTTGTTTCAATCTGTTTTGATAATGGTCTCAGATTAAAACCGCATTCAGAGAATATTCATGATTTCCACGTTTACTTGTTGCTAGCCTGGTCTTCAGATTAACTCAAAATCATATTCAGAGACAAATGGGAACTCAGAGATGTGGTGGCACAATTTGGTGCTTTGTTAAAATACCGAGCTTGGCGTTTTAATGTTACTACCAGAATTGGTTATGTTTGTGTACCCTTATCTGTGACAGTGAGTGTCACATTGTCACTCTTGACTACTCCGTTGTCATCAAGTGAACAGACATAGACGCCCGAGTCCCTCTGTTCTGCACTGTTGATCTCCAGGCGTCCAGTCGTGCTCACTCGCACTTTGTTGCCTTCAGACACGATCACGGGGGAGTTAGTCCCCCCAACCCCACTCCCACTCTTCATCCACCGTACCTGTGCAAACTTAAGTGATAAACAATGGACACCTTCGTACCACGAGAGAGAGAGAGAGAGTCGAATGGCAGCATATTGTAAAAGCCAATCAGAACTCAAGATACAAAAATCTGAGATATAAGTGCCATAGATTTGGTTGCTTTAAGGCGTTTTGATCAGTTGGGTGTGTCTTCTGCCATTTGGATCTTCTGCTGTGGACAACCGTGAATTCTGCTGTGAATTCCGGTCAATAAATGTTAAAATCACAAAATCCTTAGTTTTTTGAAAATCAACTCAACGCACTAAAAAGGGCTGAATTATCTTAAATGATGCAAGAATTCGATATTATGGCGTTTTTCACAATTTTTAGACGAACTTGATTAATGAAAAAAATCAACTGAGCTCGGTAAATGAAAAAGGTACGTGAGTCACAATACGCCTACAAACACTTCTCAAGAATGTCTATAAACATATTAAGACAAAAATAGCTGATTTCTGTGCAAACAGCTTTGAGTTTCCGACCACAGTAATCTTTGCAAAATAACTGCTTCTAAAAAGTAGTTTTCTCAGGTCAGGGGTAGTTAACTTTGTTTATTTGTTGCGCCTAGATTTGCGTGAAATAAACACACCTGAACCGAAGCAGTCAACGTACTATTCATAATCAGGGGCTCACCTACATAAAAATACATATTTTTTTTCTAGTGCGCATAACATACCACCATGTTTCTGTTGTATTCCGACATTGGAATGATGTTGCACTGAAGCACTGCGGTGTCACCTCGGTTGACCTCGACCAACCTCCAGTCGGCAATCAGCTGCAGAGAAGGACCTACAATACAAACAGCGAATGTATAATTATCTAAGATCTGGTTGCCAACTTACCAAAAAAATTGTTGAATTGACATTTTTCACCGCATTAAGTAAAAGTCGGCATGGTTATCAGTCTTCAAAATAAAAATTGCTAGCGTGCCAAAGTTGCCGAAATTGCCGGTGTGGGGGAGAGAGTGTGTGGGGTGGGAAGTCTTAAACAAAACGATTAATGGGGCTAAAACTACTTGATGAGAAAAGAGCTCACCACCGCCAGTTGAACCGGAAAGGCATAGCCTGGCACAGTCTGACTGGGATGCAAAGTTGTTCTGGTTTCCTTGGCAACCGCCGTAGATGAACTGATCGCATCTACCACTGTCTCGGTTGAAGTACCATCTGTACATGTAGGCACGACACGGACCCGCATCCGGAGACATCTCACATGTCGCTGATACTCCTGGAACAACAGCCAACAAAAGAATCAACCTGGAAAGCATTAACGCATCCTTTTCGCAAGCATTCGACCTACTGAGAACCAGAAGGTCACCTGTTTAGTCAGATGGCCTGTTTTTTCAAAACTTTGCGTGCGGCGCTGAAAATTTTGGCACAAAAAGGCCATTATCAGAGGTGTGCTCAGGATCTTTTCGTATGGGCAATGTAGTATTTCAAATACTACACGGACATAAAAGACTATTGTTTTAATTGTTTACTTAAGCTTAGAATGGACTCTTTTCCTCTTTAAATTTGTTAACCCTTTAAATACTATTCCGATTTTTTTCATTCTTTCAAGATTGGATTCCTTTTGTTATATCCAATGTTTTTTCAAAGACTATTTTGTCGGATATCAAAAAGAAGGTTTGTCACCATACAAGCTGGTCAGTTGAAATGTTCTGCCTTGAAAAGCAGACACTAAAACGATAAGCATTAAGTCTTTTTGGAGCCTACTAAAAACACAAAAAATAGAACACCTGCAAAATCAAAGATTGAAAGAATTAAGTCTTTCAATATGTAAAAACTACAAAAATGAAACTACTGAAAAATTTCCAGAGGCCCGAAGATTAAACAGATATCCGATGGAACAAAACCTATGAAGATTAGAAATAGACAGGTACTTTGAAGCATTCTTGCTTATAAATTGGACCGATCAAAAGTCTTCATATTTTTTATTCCCACTCTAATTTCCACTCGCTCAGAAATTTTCCGAAATTTATTTCAATTGATTTGTACCTTTTTATATTTATAGTTTTTTTAAGATAAGATCTTAGAACTTTTATAAGTTCGGAAAAATAAAAGCTGCAACACAGACCTGGAAGAACTGATGACCCATTACTCCGAGAAACACTAGGTGGACAAATTAGTCAGCAATCTAGATGCGGACTACAGGCAATTGAAGTGTTAATTTAAATGTAAAAACTAGACTTTGACCCCATCCCACACTAAAGAAGTTGTTGATTATTTTTTAAAACCATTTATATTTAACTATCCATTATAAAAAATCATACTTTTTTGTAACTATTGTTTCTACTATAACTTTTGTCAAAAAAATGACAATCTAAGGTGAGACTTATAACATAGGATAAATTAGTAAAGGGACACGAGAAGCTATACAAAAGCGCTTGTCCCTCTTAGTAAAGCAACTAATAACAACAACAGGATCTATCCGTGTGCCCTGTTTTTTGGATTTGTTTCACAAAATTCGTTGACGTTTGTTTTCTAGTCAACCAGGTTTATTTTCTGAGATCCCTAAAACTCAATAAAAATGCTGCAGAGCAATTTTAAGAAAAAATTTAACAAAAGTTTGCATTTTCGGCGCTAACCTCCTTCAATTTTAGTTTATATTGGCACAAAGGTAGGGGTACCTTTTAAAAAAATTTAGGGTTGTTCGACTAATTTTTGAAAAGTTTTGGCCACCAGATTTTTGGTTTGAAAAAAATGATTGGCCACCAGAAATGAGGGGAGTACGGGCACACTACTGATCTTTATAGAGTATTTTTGACGAGCTTGGAGAATCAATTTCGTCAACCTTTTAAAAACCGATAAACTTCTATTGAAAAATCCATCCCTTCCAGAAAACCCTTGAATTTATAGTCAAAACTGGATGCGATCTGGCCGCAAAACTTGGTAGCGGACATATCAAGACAATAAAACGTCGATATGGAGACCATAAAGTCCATACTATCAGTCCCCTACCACAACCTCAAAATGTAGCAGGGATAGCCGGTCGATGTTTTAGCGGTTGCTGTTATTATGTCACTCCACTCATTACGATATTTGTTTGTGGTGTGTTAACTGCATTTAGTTGAAAAAAATAGGCCTGCTCGCTAACTTTATTTGTTCGACTTTAATTCATACAGATTTTTCTCGACACTGAAAGTTTTTTTTGAAAATTTTTTAAGTCGTTCCAATACCGACTTAGAGGGCTTTAAAAGATTATATCACTCGATCCATTCCAATTAATAATTGTGGTACCTGATTTTGCATGGAAAATAAACAAAAAGACCAATTTCAATGGTCGGAACAAAATGAATTCTCGAATCACATCTTCACTAAATTTATATTCCCGGCGTTTCACTCCCTTCATCTTTCAAAATCTATACTTTTCAAAAAAACTAAAAAAACGTTTCATGGAACATAGCCAACAGACAGTTCGAGAAGCTTGAAGAAACGCAAAAGAACAAAAACAACGACTTGTTTTTCAAAGTTTTTCAACTCTTGATTTTCAAAGTAAAACATTAATCAATGAAAAATTTTTGAATTTCAATAAAAGTTTAAAATTGGCACTTCTTTCAAAAAAAATTAACTCAATTTGAGAAAACTGGGTCCATAAAAAAATTTATTCCAATTTGAAAATTAAAATCTACTTCGTCGATTGCGTTTTTCGAGACCTTTAAATTTCTGCTGTTCGAGAGCGAAGTTTACCTTCTTTTTAATAAAGGAAGTGAACTAAACTTAAAAATAAATCAAAATTCAAACTGCGAAAAATCAAATTTGAGCGTGATTAAATTTTGAGACTTTTCCTGAAAAATTTTTAAAAATCATCACGACTCGTTTCTCTACGTTCATCAACTCGGTTAATTTGGCGGTGCTTGATTAAGTTGCAAATGTACCGGCTACTTTAGTTGAACAGTAAATGGCTAGGGTCATTCTGGCTGCTGTATTATTGCGTAATGAGTTATGCTAGTACAGGATCTAAGGGGGAAGGCTGTTTTGTCATGATGAAATCATTGATTTATAATTTTACCCTGAGGTGGAGGAGCTGCCCTTCTAGTTGGCATCGCCTCTCCCGAATTAGCCCAACCACCTTCCAAACTGGCCAGGTAGTCGCTGTAATACATATTATTATACTTCGGATCCTCGGCCACTGGTTGATAAGCGTAGTAGTACGTCGGTGGAACTGGAACGGAGTCGGCAACTACAGCGGGCGGTATGCACGAGTCTCGACAGAGCATTCTGGAATAAAGTTATGTTTGTTATTGATGGATTCCCGAATAATGATTGTATTATAACAAATAGCAACGCTCTGAGGTTTTCGAAAATTGAAAAATAGGCTTATTTTAAAATAAAATAATATAATTTTTTACTTTAAAACGCGAATAAAAATCACGGAGCTGTCAATTACAATCAAGATTAAGCAGTATAAACTTGCATAGTATAATGAGTTCTTATGCAGTATGATAAGTTCTTCGGAGATCTATTTCTTATACATGGTCTCCAAGAGGTTATGGTCAGTCCAGCATAGTTTACCTGGAAGAATACGAGTTCTGGTTCTGAGAGGAGTCGCATCCACCGTCATAGTAACTCTGACACATTCCACTTGTGGAATTGTAGAAGTACTTCAGAGTGTACTCCAAGGCACAGAGGTTCTGGGATCTTGGACTCCCGGAGCAAGGTCCAGTTTGCGGCTGTGGCTGCGGTTGAGGTTGGGGCTCAGGGTAAACATAGGAAATTTCTGGTGCTGGTTGAGCCCCTGATAAATTGAAAAACGTGGCAACTTTCAGATTACACTTTTTTGTTAGCTATCTTTTAAGTGTGTCAATAAATAAAATATTAAAAACAAAAATACTTACCGCAATTTTTTAAAGTAGTCAGTATTCACGGGTTTTCAAAGCATTTTTTTTTTGGCAATTTCAATGAACTTGAATTTAATCCTAACCAATTGTACCAGGGGCTGATTTAGGGGGGGCGGACGCCCCCCCCCCCCCCCCCCCTCAGGGATTCGACCCCCTGCCGACCCAAAGGGTCCCCCCTTTGATACTTTTTCAGAAATCCATTTTTGGCCGACCGACCCTAAAATTGTTCTAAAGGCGCCTTTGGCGCCAATATATACTAACTTTGAGGGGGAGCGCGCGCCAAAAAAAAACGCTATTTTTTTTGTCAAAATTTTTCAAAAAGTGCCCAAAAACGGCTTTTTTGACTGTTTTTTCAAAAATTTGCCTGCGGCGCAGAAAAGTTTGCCAAAATAGGGGCAAAACAGTGCTTTGGGAGAGCTCGAAAAATCAATTTGGTCGATCTAAAAAAAAAAAAAGGTCGTCAAAATTTTGGAAAATTTTTTGAAAATCCGCCCCCCCCCCCCCTCGAGAAAATCCTAGATCCGCCCCTGAATTGTACCATTTGTGCTTGTAGAGAGATTAATGCATAACGTTTACTTTTTTCGCTGTTCGTAACCCAATATCTATTCAAATATAATAATAGGAAGATACCAATTTAAACTGCTCATAACTGCTTCTCTTGAACAAAAAGATCGAATATATAATCCAGTGACTAAAAGATACTGTAACTAAAACTCATTTTATGGGAAATTTTCATTTTATAGGTTAATTTTATGACAAAATTTGATTCGCATAAATTTTTTGCTGAAATTTAAGTCGTTTGATATAAGAACCTGCAAGAGTTTTTGTGTAGTCATTTGATGTAAGAACCCCCAATTCCTCTGCAAGAGTTTTGTGGTAATAAATTGTAAAAGTTTATACCTACATGATAAATTGCAACGACCATCATCAAAATATTCAAGTCTTTCACTTAGGTACCTGCTGTAGGCAGTTGTTCACCAGCGGCATAGCCGTATTGGTAAGGGTTGTACGGGTAGTAAGGGTTGTATCCATACGGGTTGTTGTTTCCGTGATGACCATAGTAGTACGCCCAATAGGGGTCATAATGGTCCCGGTCCCACTGCCAGTAGTTTCCAGAATGGTGGTTCGGATACTGATTGTAGTAGTGATAGTAGTCATTTGAGCCCGCAACACCGCAGTGCGTTCGGCACTCCTCGTTGCTCGGAAATCCGAAAGACTGTTGACACCCAGAGGCCCAGTAGTGGTCGCATTGTTGCGAGGTCTCGTTGAAAAAGTACTTACTCTCGTAGGTTCCGCCGCAGTTCATGTAACGGTCGGGAGGCACTCCATGACACATATCTAAAAATTAACGTACCGTGCACCATAGTCGTGAAGCTTTCAAAAAAATTGTTACATATTACTTGTTTTACTTGTTTCAGTCACACTTTTATTTTTTCATGCTTTATGGGTTTTTCCAAACACTGGTTGTCCTTCATTAAAAGTTAAATTACCCGGATGTGTGGAGGGGTTGTAGTGACAGTTGGATTGGTACACATCCGCAGCTGCAGTCTCCCCGTCCTGAAAACAAACAGAACACCCTTGCAGTCGAGCTCCCTTTAATTATAGTTCCTTCCAGTTAATCTTATAAAAAAAAATTTCCCTCGCGGATCTCGCGCATTTTTCAAATAAAATGATCCTCATTAAAATTTATCATTAAAGACTGGCGAACAACCCATTTGAGTTGCGTTTTTTAATGATCGACCAACGTGCAGTGTAGATTTTCATTATCCGGACAAAACGGAAAACTTTTGAAATTTCAAACGCATTTTTCCCAAATTGGGCCAAGAGTAGACAAAAAAGGAGAGAACAAAAGTTGCCCAGATTGTTACCAGAATTAATATGATGCAATTTTTTGCCCGAAATTCTCAACCAAAATTTTACCCCAAAAATGGGTCTTTTTTGAGGCACTTATCATAGTGGTAAGGCGTTCACTTCGAGATCGTTAGATCGTGAATTCGGTTCCCTACCATGGCAATGATAGTTTGTGAGGACGAGCTCTCACTTGACCTCTCGCTTTAGGTCTACCACAGCCTGACAGATTACGGATGCAATAAAAGGTACCACGTGAAAGACGCAAAAAACGGCCTTGAGGCGCAAAAAAAGCCTCTCTCAACAAAATAACTCTGGAATGTGGGGGAAATAGGAGCAACAGACTACCCTAAGGCTGGCTGGAGAAATCATTATTAATTGCAGAAACAACAATTATTAATATTTTTATTATTGCTAAACCTACACAAAGCCCACATGAAACTGACATGCAAATGTTGACGACAAATATGTCCAAACTCGTATGTAACTCACGGGACAGCATCCATAAGTGGTGTACTGGCACACATATCTGGGGTCATCACGACAGTTGGATCTGTCCGGGTAGGCGGCGGACCCATCCGGACAGCACCCGTAGGCCGAGTAGATGCATGAGTCGTACATAGTGGCCACATCACTACTGTCCGCGGCTATGGGCCGGGGATCAGGTCTGGGCTGGGGCTGTGGTCTTGGCTGAGGCTCTGGTCTAGGTTGCACTGGTTTCTCTGAAAGAGGTCGATTTTTTCGGAAAAAGCAATAAGTTAACCGTATCGTTTACATTCCAAAGCACTCAACAGTTGATTGAAACAAAAATAAAACTAGAAAGCGTTAAAGGAACACCCAGTAAAAAATCAGATTTTGAAGGTTAAATTTTGATAAATTTTAATGTAATTATTAGAAAGGAATGCTAAATATCGGAACAAAAAGGATTTGAGTGTTTTGCTCCATGCAGATCTAAGTTTACATTGAATTACCTTCCCACGTGTTATGTAATCCAATTTCATCGCAACCTTCATAATTTGGGCCATGAGCATGGGACTTATTGTCCTTACAGCAGCCATACATGGTGAACATACAAGCGGGACCACAGCCATAGTAGTCGGGACCCTGGGCCACCGAGACACCGTCAGGACAACAGCCGAACGGCATTCGGTCGCACGAGGGAGGACATCCGAGGTAGTCGCGACCACGAGCGAATGTGACGCCATCGGGACAACAACCATAGAGAGATGATTGACAGCTCTGCTCATCTAAAACAGATTAAAGTACATTCAAAACAAATCCGTTCATATCAATTTGCTTTAATTAAATAATTATCGCAACATTTATTTTGTTTTTTTTTTCTTTGAAAAATTATAGATGATAACCGGACCAAGTTAACAAACTCCCCCTCCCAACAGCTTTGGTGGGGAGGATGTTAACTTGATCCGGTAATGCATATTTACACATAGTGACAAAGGCCTTTTTCTGTCCTCTAGTACCGACCCATTAAAACATTCGCTTGATAAAAATGCTCCGAAATGCTGAATAAATTGACAAACTCAACAGATAAAAGAATCATTTTTTGTGTAGAAAGTGTTAAGAGTTAAATTGTCCTGATTGTGCTACGTCTATTGTAATATTAGCACCCACCACTCATCATGACGTTGTCTTTGGTGGGGGCACATGTGGACTCGCACTTGAGTCGATTGGGGAAGTTGTTGCGATTACCGCCACAGCCAGAGTACACGAACACCTGCAGATAAACATACGCCACCTGATGATACAATTAAACTGGTATCATTGATAAGTGCTTAACAAGTTGGAATTTTAAAACAGAAAGTTAGCTTCTGAGCTTCTCAATTTAACTTTTCACAGCACTATGTTGACTTTTTTGACAACTTTTTGTCCTTTGTTCAGACTTTACGAAAATGGCCGTAACTTTCAGCTTTTCCAAAACCCAAAACCTACATTTTGGGGAAATTTGACTTTGAATACAGTGAGAGGTCGCCTTTACAGTTAAATGACACGCATAAACGAAAAGATATATTGCACTGAAAGAATCGAAAAAAAAAATCGAAAAAAATAGAGGGCTGATTTAAAACATTCGGAGGAAAAAATTAACAAAGTATGAAATTTCAAACAAATTTTTCTCAAATTGGGGTAAGGCTAAACATAAAAAGCGAATGAAATTTAAAAAAAAATTCACCAGAATTAATATGCAGCTTTTTTCCAAATTTTTAACTAAATTTTGCCTCAAAAAAGTGTCAATTTGGCTTTTTTAAATCAATCAAAAATTACAAAAAGTTTTTTGAAAACTTTTTCTTTAATTTTCTTTTGATTTCAAATGTTGGGATCGTAAGTTTTTGTAATCCTTGCACAGCTTTTGACATGGAAAATTATTCAGTTTTTTACGACGGTTTGTTGTGGCACCAGATTATCTTGCAGAAAAAAACAGCCGAAGACTTAGTTGCTTCTTTTTTTTTGTATCATGAACAAAAAAAACATCTTGAAACACAAATTCAACAAGTCTGCTTGAATAAGAAAAAAGCCTTAAACCATCGTAGTTCTCTTTAAAGTACCAGTAATATTCTCTTTGGTTAAAAGTTTTAGACAATTTTTTCAAAGAAAAAATTGGCTTTTCTTGTTAATTTTCCCCAACAATCAAGTTCTTGCACAAATTGGTATATTCTTGATTTGTTAACAAAGATAGCCGGTTGCTGTGCAAGTAGCACAGAATGTTTCGACCATAGACTTTTAAAAAGTACAAAAAAGTATTTTTTTTTTTCAAATTACTTTCGTTTTTTCTACATGGTGTAATAAAAAGATCTGAGCGATTTAGAATTAGGCCAATTGATCGGAACATTCATAGTGAAATAGGCCAATTGGAAAACCCTTTTGTAAGCAAAATTTTTAAATAAAACTTCAGAGCATTTTTTGAATTTTGAAGGTTTTGATTCCCAAAATGGCGCTAAAAAACTCCAAAACCAATTTTAATCTAATATACAAATCTTACTCTAATATACAAATATTACTCTAATATACAAATATTACTCTAAATACAAACTAAGTTTTCACGGCTTAAATTCACACAAATCAGCTAGTGGGTGGTGTGATTCGAGAATTATACGATCATGTAGAAAGTTGGTAAATTAGGCATAATCAACATCATTTGTCTCCAAAAAATGAATAAAAGCCAAAAAAAAAACATAAAAAGTTTTAATTTGAACTTTTTGCACAATATTTTGAATTTCTTTCTATAAAACTTTATTGCATAACAAGCGCTGAATGAAACATCCAAAAGTAGTATTCATTATTGTAAAACTAAATTTTTTTCCTCAAAGTCTAAAAAAAACAGTTAACTTCCAAATAACGCTAGAATAAATCTCAAAAATTTCAAACCAATTTTTCTCAAAATTGGGACATTTTTTTGAAATTTTTTGAATCACGGCTGAAAGGGCATAAGTGTGATAATATATCCTTCTGCCCATTCCGATGATTATTTGTGATACCTGGTTTTGTGCGGAAAAAAGAAAAAAATAAGACACACTAATAAGACACACAAGACACAAATACAAAGTTTCTCCCCATTTTCAATGGTCGGAAATGCTAATACCCAGTTAACGTATTGAATGTTCCAGTGTTTTCGATATTCTCTTTTGCCTTGGTAGGGTTGGAATAATCTTTAAGAACTAGTTAATAACGCTAGAAACAAACAAAGTTTAAAGAGCCGCCGCAGAAAATTCACATTTTTAAGTAGTATCGGATACAGGGTCTTTTAAGTGCTTTGGGAGAGCTCGGAAAATTAATTTTGTCGACCCCCTCGTGAAAATCCACGCCCTCCCCCCTCGAGAAAATCCTAGATCCGCCCCTGCATGTATTTAATCCAATTGAATCAGATCAGTTCTCGCCTCGCATGATGCTGAAATTGGCTCGAAGTAGTATCGGAACACCTTCTGTCCGCAGTCCCCATAGTCCATAGCCAGTCCACATTCGGCTAAATCAGACAAAATCATAAGAACTCGATCACTATCTTTCCGGTTTAAGGTCGTATATAATTTTATTTGTTTCTCACGAAATCCATGCAATAGCATCTATTTTCATTCTATACGTTGGCATTGGGATCATCTGAACAGTATTATCCTAATTTAATCAAGTGAACGATCACAACCCTAAAGAGTAAAGCCAATCGCAATGAAGTTTGCTCCGATCTTCTACCTAAATTCAATTGGTCAATTGGGTGGGCATTGTTCACTTGTTCAAAAAATGGTTGTTATACAGTGCTGATTTAAAGTATCCGGACAAAACAAACAAAACTTGAATTTTCAAACGTGTTTTTCTCAAACTGGGTTAAGATTAGACAAAAAGTGAAGAGAACAAAAGTTGCTTCGAATTTAATCAAAATTAATGAGGTGCAATTTTTTCTCCGAAACTCTCAACCAAAATTTTACCCCAAAAATGGGTCATTTTGGCTTTTTTCAATTAATCAAGAATTACACTGAAACTACTTTGTTAATTGATGAGAAAATTATATCAAAAGAAGCGTCCTACATAGCCCAACAAAGTTTAAAAAGAGTTAAATCTCCAAAAACCAGTATAAGAGAAAAAGTTGTTACTTGATAGTCAGTAAATGTGATTTTTACTATATAAAATCCAGAATATCTGTTTAAAAACAAATTTTAAACAATTTGTGCAAACTTTTGGAGATTTAACCCGTCTTAAACTTTGTTGAACTGCGTAAGAGGCTTCCTGTGATATAATTTTCTTATCAATTAACAAAATAGTTTCAGCGTAATTCTTGATTAATTGAAAAAAGCCAAAATGACCTATTTTTGGGGTAAAATTGTTGTTAAGAATTTCGGAGAAAAAATTGCACCATATTAATTCTGGGGAAATTCTAAGCAATTTTTGACCTCTTCACTTTTTGTCTAATCTTAACCCAATTTGAGAAAAACGCGTTTGAAAATTCAAGTTTTGTTTGTTTTGTCCGGATAATTTAAATCAGCACTGTAGTAACATTGTCGATTTTTTTTTAATAAGTAGTCTGATATGCTGATCAATCTACCAGGCGGGGTTAGTTGGTTGGGTGAGCAGGGGGCGAGGTTGCATGTTCTGTTGGAGGGGGGCCTCAGTTGTTTTTCACAGTGTCTGTCATTGATCAGGGTCCCATCCTCCATCTTACACATGACTTCCCGCTTCTGGGACCCTTGGCCACACTTGGACGAGCACTAAAATAAAATCCATCCGGAAAATCTAGTGCAAGAAAAGTTAATAAAGTTTAATGAAACTTTGTGTTTGCAAATAAATTTTCCGTATCAAAATATTGAATATTGAAGTTAAATTTTAAAATTAAAACAATACACATTTAGAAAACACAGGTCTTGTGGCGACTTTGAGTACAGACATTCATAAGTTTCACGCTGTTCCCGTGATTGATCTCCGTAGACTAAAAACTCTTATCATTATCATACAGCTTCATACATGGAATCTATGGAAAAAAAGCGGAGAAGAAATTTTCAACTAATTACGAATATTGCAATTCAGAACATTCAAGGAAGATGATGAAGACTCAATTCTAATGACTCTTGTTGTTGTAATTGTATGTAAATTACAACAAACATCGATTAAATTTGAAACTCATTGGTTTCAATACCTACCGTTAATGCAAACTATTTTTCTCGTTATTAAATTCCTTAAAAAACTAGAGGAAATCAAGTAATTTAGTTCAGGTAGTTAATGAAAACAGAACGTTCTGAAGGAATCTCAAAAGATTTAAAACTATCCGGACAAATTGAACAAAAATTAAAATTTCAAAAGCGTATTTCTCAAATGGCGTGACATTTAGACAAAAATTATCGTAAAGAAATCATAGTTGCATACAATTTCACCAGAGTTAATGTGAGGCAATTTTTTTAAAGAAATTTTCAACAAAAAATTTTCCCTGCAAAAAGGGTCATTTTGGCTTTTTTAATTAATCGAGAACTTACGCTGAAAATAACGAACTAATTGATGAAAAACTTACACCAAAAGAACCCTCTTACATAGTCCAATAAAGTTCTTGAACAACAAAATTTCCAAAAGTTTTTTTAAGAGAATGTATTTTTGGTTGATAGCTAAAAAAAGGTCATTTTTACTCAAAAAAAAATCAAAACTTTTGGTTAAGACCAATCTTCAGATGTTTTCCGCTTTGAATAGGGAACTGATTCAGAGAAAATTGGTTCAACTTCTAAAGGAAAAATTCTTATTTCTGTACTCATGTTGTCTGTAGTTAATTGGAAAAAACCAAATTTTTGAAGAATGAAAAATTAAGTATGTCGAAATTGCACATAAGGATAAACACTTGATACAAGCTAATTCGAATAAAAAAGAACTGATTCAAACTAAATTGGTACAAATCTTAAAGAAAATTTTTTGTTGCAAGACAATTCTTGGAAAGTACAAGACAATAAGTACAAGTACATTATGGAAAAAAGTACTAAACAATTATTAGAAAATAAAATAAAAACAAAAAACCTCTATGACATTTCCGGGTCTTATGCACTAAATGGCCCAAAATCAATGTTTCTACCTCTTTCTTGAACTCTAAATAATATGGTTGAATTTGATTGGCCATTCAGATTAAAATTGCAAGCAGATAAAATTATTGGCCGAAATGAACAAAATTATAAAACTTTAATTCTGCTGAAGTCATTTTACGAAGTTTTCTCGATCCGAGCAAAATTACCCAGGTTACTTGAAAAAAAATTAGACAAAGTTTGACATTTTGGTAATTTCGGCTAATATTTTTATCTGCTGCAAGTTTTGATTGAATTGCCTGAACATATTGCTTGAATTTGAAAATGGCTAATATCAGCCAGTCAAATTCGACTGCATAAGTTTTAACTCATGATATAAAAGTTTTGATTTTGGGCCGTTTTGTGCATAAGACCCACATTTCCTTCTAAATCCTCAAAAAATTCCTCATTTTACTTCAAGAATACAGTTCAAATAAATCATTCAATTTTGGTTAGGATTTTTGCAATGCTCGCAACTAAATTTTACAACACTGTTTTGTGATCAGAATTTCATTCATTACAATGCTTGCAATTAAATTTCGCAACACTGTATCCTATTTTTCAAATCCATTTTATATTATATATATAATATATCTTTCAATAGAGCCAAACACATAGGAGATTTTACAAGATATATCATATATCATGTATGCAAGAATCAGGCAAGATCTTCCAGATATCCCATCCTGGTCAACTAGGGCTGAAAAAAAAACAATTTTTTTGTGATACTTCGAATTTCAATGCAAGGACATTTGAACATTGTAAAAGTTACTCAAAACTTGATTTTTTATTCGTTTGTGAAATTTTTGTTTTACAGTTCAAATCTTGCATTGAGTAACTTTCACAGTTCAAATCTTGCATTGAATAACTTTCACAGTTCAAATCTTGCATTGAGATTCTTGCACAGTTAGCATTCCCAAAATCACTGATTTGGAAAGCTAAACCTACAGGTTCCTTATTTTTCTTGATGATTCAGATTTTCCGGGATAGTTAAAAGGGTTTTAAGAGAAGTTATCGCATTCCTCGCAATCAAGATTTCTTGCATCTCATGCAAAAAGTTTCCAAAATAACTCTGCTTCTTTTTCACTGTTTTGGCATCCCCCCCACATATGGTAACTAGTGCGAATATCCCCCTACTGCAATACGGGGATAGTTAATAAAAATAGCCTTCTCTCGCCACTCACTTTGGACCAGTTGGAATGAGTCCATTGGGTGTTGCAGTTGAGGAAGCAGCTCTTGTGAGCCTGTGGCTTGGTCTGTCTGTTGCACTCCGTCTCCCCTTCCTCCGCCTCTTTGCTTCGGTTACTCTCCAGCACACACTTCACTTGTCGCTTCTGGATGCCCCACCCACACACCACAGAACACTATTGAGGGACAACAAACAACTCAAAAATACTCAATTGAACCTTAAAGACAAATTAAAGAATTAGAGTTTGTGAGCGGGGGACAACTTTTTTTGATTGAAAAAATGAAAACAGCTCTTAAAAATGTCATATTTTATTTATCCATTCCAAAAAATTAACACAAAAGCAAGAACCTATAAAATACAACAGGTTCAAAAGGGCAGCTGCTAAATGAAAAACTGTTTCAAAACGACGTTTTTCATGGCTTCGCAAAAATATTTCGAAAACATTTGATAATTTTACCAAAATTTTTCTTAATTTTACAAATATTTTGTTCATTAACTACCTAATGGCAGCATTTTTCTTCCACAATGACTATGTTTGTAAGTAATCCAATTGATCAATTTACCTCTTCCCATGGGGATGCGAACCAGATGGCATTGCAGCCTGTCTTGGAGTAGCATGTGTCAAGGGAGGGGGGCTTGGTCTTCGGGTCGCACAAAGAACCATCAGTCACTCTCATCCCAGAAGAAGAGGGGGAAGAAGAACTTTGACAAGAGACCTCCCGGCTACGCATTCCCTCCCCACAATCCGACGAACACTGACAGATTAATTAGGTAACATTATTAGAAATACATTTGTTTTTCATCGGCACTTTATTTTTTGATTTTAAAAATGCCTCAGCGTTCTTCACTACTCTGCAGTGTTTGTATTTTTTAAAAATTGATTGTGATTCAGTATATAACCAATCTAGTTTGAAATTATTTCATGTTTTATAGCAGACGCTTTCTATCTTGGTGGATCGGACAGTTTTTCCAACGCCGCTTTTCAGGTCACCGGTAAATACTTTCAGGCAGACAAACAATTTAGAGATTCTCAAGTTCCAATTTTTATCGACCACTGTCGATACTAAAAACTAATCTCACTAGTTTTGGTCGATTTCTTTCTCATGCTTATGGATTTGGTCATAATCATGTGTATGATCATGGTCAAAATCATGGTCTTGATCAATGTTATATTGTCTCACCTCTGACCACTGACCAGCAGTCCACTTGTAAACTATAATTTCATCATTTTCTCCATCATTTCCATCTCTCCTAATTTCATTCTCTGCTATTGGTTCACACTTGACACACTTCTGAACTAGTTCAGGCAGCAACTCTGCACTACACATTACATTCTCCACTCTATTTCCATTTTGAACACACTCTAGTTCACGTGTTTGGAAACAGTCAGCATCGCACTGAAAATGAGCAGGTCAGCCTCAAAGTAAATTGCCAGAACTTTTACAAATTTATTCGATCTTGACCGAATCTGTCGGCCGCTAAGGCATAGATAAGACGATTCGTTTTTGTGATAGCCAAGTTTTTGTGAACAACTCTAAATTAAACGGTGAATCGCTTTTCGAAAACTTTTTATTTTTTGCCATGCCGTGAAATGTTGCTTGCGGTCGATTGTCAACTCATATGTCTGATAATTAAATAAAACGAATGTATCATGAACTCACAGTTGACCAGTGAGTGACTTTCCACCGGGCGGGACAGTTCACCCCAGAGCACAACTCAGTCGAGGAGGGCTTCGGCCCATCCGATAACAGACACTCCTCATCAGGAACCTAAAAAAAACAGGTGATGATGAGAAAAGAATAATTTGATAGCTCAGAGAACCTGATCAGCTTGAAAAAAAATTGAATGGGACTATTTTTGAAACGCAGTTATATCCTTTTTCAGACAATGCAAAAAATTTTACTTTTGGTTCTACGAAAGTAAGTTGTAGAGTGGTGCTTTCGTTTCCGAAAAAGGTTTTTGCCAAGTTTTTATATTCTCAAACACACTAATTGTTTAGTCAGAAACTGTTTAGTCAGTAACATATTTCCTTTTGTCCTCTAGATATGTTAGCAGGCCCTGGTCAAGGATTTTTGGGAGGAGTGGTGTTTGTCGACCTTTTTTGCGATCCCTTTTGGCAGCGAGGGAGTTGTCGAGTTTTCATACGCTACTGTATGTGGTTCATATAGATGAAGATGACTATGTAATACTGACTATGATGTTCTGTGAGAGGGGGTCGAACATGTTGGGACTCTCCTGTTCGCAGTAGACATTCCTCGCCCTCTCCCCATCCTCACAATTGTCAATACACTCACTCCACTCCGTCGCCACCCACCTATATTTATATCAAGACCATCTGCTTTTGCGTTTTGGGTGTGATAGCTTTTGGACTTAAAATACTAATAAATATTGCAGTTTGAGCTGGAAAATCAGCGAGGTTTGTCATTTTGGAGCACGTAGATTGGTTGATAATTTTGGTTGATGTTAATTCAGCCCTTCTGTCATGAGCAAAACGCTTATGTCTTTTGTGATTGTTGTGACCCCTATCATTATCAAAGCATTGCTTATTGTCTTCTTTTTTAGGTCTTATGCACTAAACGGGGGCTATTCTCATTATGGAGGGAACGATTGGTAGAAAAGCTCCAACAAAGAATCAATCGAAGTTCCTATTCGCTGAATGATTTTTGCACTGAACCGAAGTCAAAAATTGCCAGAAATGAAATAAAGCATGCACAGTCTGTGCCGATACAAGAAATTCGGTGTTTCCTTTTTCATTTTTTAAATTGGTGTCTGTAAAAAATATATAATTTTTGCAATCTTTCTGTGATCTGTCAATGTTTAAAAATTCATGTATCTGTAATCTGCGTATTTTCTAATCCGTCAAAAATAATCTTATTGGCCCGTATTTTTTCGCTTGAGATTTTTGTGATTTGATTGAGGCTTTTGAATACTCAATTCTGGTTGGCCGAAAATAACTGAGAATAATTTTCCATCATTCAGTCCCTCTATATTGAGGGAAGCTATTGCACTAAATGGCCCAAAATCAGTATTTTTATATTTTCGAAATCAAGTTAATAAGGTTGAAACTGATTGGCTAATTAGACACTCAAATTCAAACAAAATGGTCCGTTATTGTTCCGCCCATTTGAAAAATGGGGAAGAACTTTGTATTCGGGTGTTTCAGTTTTTTTTTCCACGCAAAATCAGGATGCACAACAAAAAATGCACTGGGTTGAGTGATATATCACATTAGAGCCTTTTCAGTCTTAACTTGAACCACGTTAGAAAAATTCCAAAAAATCTTCCCAGTGTCGAGAAAAACCGGTTTGAAATTTTCGATTTTTTGCCTTAATTCGAGCCAATAAAGCAAGCGAGCAGGCTTACAACAGTTGAATTATGCCTAATTTAAGACCTTAAACCTTAATTTTAAGCAAGCTTAAGCAATTTTTAACTAGTTTTAGCAGTTTTTAGCATCATCTTGGGAACCAAAAACTTAAAAAAATTCAAAAACTTTGCAAAAATTTTGAAATTATTATTTTTCTTTCAAATTTTTTAAAAGTTTTTCTAGTCATTTTTCTACAAAAAATTGTTGTCCAATTTGCCTACATTACAATGGCTGTCTACTATGCCAAATTTATATTTATACGTCAGATTCTTTTATCACACCAAAAAAAATTATGGCTCAAAAAACTTGTAGAAATCAGGTGTATCATTATAATAGAATTTTCAAAACTGTATTTAATCGACGACGATCAAAAGGACAGTGGTGGCTTATTCAAATTTCATCTTATCTAAGATGTTATGACTGAAATCTGTAAAAAATTAATTCTTGGTTCCAACCAAAATTTTTTAAAAACTACGAAACAATCGAAAATTATTTTGTACTGTTTTTCATTTTTTGGTAGGATAACTATTGTAGAAAACAGTTGTACAATTACCATCTACTGATAACCAACCGAATTCAAAAACCAACCGCAGTTCGAAGTACGTTGTGACGGCTGACTTGATTTTAAACATCATCCGTTCAAATATATATGAAACTAACAACAAACAATAGAAAACCAAATCTACACATGTTCTTCGATGTTTGATAATACTTTCAATTACCAAACTGAACAAAACCGTGTATACTAGAGTTTGAGCTGTTCTGTACCATTTTATTTAAAGTAAATTTAATTCATTTCTATCAAATATAATTTGAGACTGCGTGCAAAAATCAATCAAAATCGTTCAACGGGTCTGAATTGAAACCTTCAATTTATATTTAAGCTTCAAAAAAGCTTATTAAATTTACATTGAAAAAACAGATAATGCAAATGTCTGCTACCAGCTACCAGGCGACCAAAAAAGATCCAAAACTTTCAAGAGATCTTTCAGAGACGGAACACATCATGCATAAGTACAAAAACAGGCCAAGCTACTACAGCAAAATGGAAAATAGTGGCTTTTACTTGAGCGATTCCGGAAGTAACTGTTTATCCGACGGGCCATCGGCAGGAGAATTTTATCTCATTTCGAAGGACCGTTATAAACAGAAGAAACCACGAAGTGTTTCGGCTGTTCCGACAACACGACAACCAGTTTACGTTACTCATCCGACTCCTATTGTGTATACAGTGCCAGCAAACTCTTACCCCTACGCAATTCCCAACAGCATAAACCCAGCACCTTACACGTATTTCCCTCTTTATACTTATCTTGCACCGACCAATCATAATCTGGCATATTCAACCAATCAGAATCAAGGATTGTCGACCAATCAAAAAGCTGCACCAGTCACTCCACGTGTGGTTCATCGCAAACCACTGTATGAACGACAGTATGCTGAAAAACCTAATTTTCAAGAAAAAGCAAAAATTGAAGAGAGTTTTTCAAAACGAATGAAAGATCATAAACTGCAGCCGATTCGATTTTACGAAAAGTCCGGAAACAGCTTTGACTATTCAGACTATCTGATTGGCTACGAAGACCGACAAAGTATAGGTGCCGAGAACCGAAGCAGAAGTGGACGACGAAGTAACGACAAGTTAGTTTTGGCGCTGAATAAAGTTAACCGAGCAGCTGAAAATCTCAATAAAATGTCGAGTCAGTTGAACCAAAACATGAACTCAATAATGACCACCGAATATGTATATTAAAACAGATGCACACTCATTATACATTTTGTACCTATTTTGAATTAAAACTGAAAAATTGCCATTTCATCTAAATCTTGTCAAGTATAAAGCGCATATGCGTCAGGGAACTCATAAAAACATTATCAAAATAATCACAAGTTATGTCTATTTTTGCTCATTAAAAAACTTCTCAAACTGTTGACACTTTGTTTTAAAAAAAAACATACTGTTATCCCCTCTTGTGCGTGGGGAGGGGGGGGGGGTGCTTGGTATGGAGTGATTACCTGGCCTTGCAGGGGTGGGTGTTGCAGACTCTCTGGTGACTGGGCTTGGGCTGACCGTCGCAGTGCTCATCTGTGTATTCCAGACCATCTGGTTTCTTCGCACATGACACCAACAGATTCTGAATTCCTGAAGAGAACTCAGTGTTTAAATTTCACTTTTGCAATGCTTGCTTCTGTGCGTATCCTTCTAAATGAAAGCTCATAGAAAGCGCCCAATTTTTAAAATAATGCAACATCGTGCAAAGAAAAAATACCAACTTGATAAAATGACTATTTTGCAGAATGATAAAATGACTGAAAAAATTGTAAAACTGAAATTTAAGTGCAAACCTGATTCCCAGACAATAAACGATTAGTGAAAACATCAACAGCAAAGAAACTATGATATTTTGCGGTCAATTTTAATAGCATTTTTTTTCTGCACAAAGTAATTTACGCTTTTTTTCCATTAGCTTTATCAGTTTAGTTTTTTAATTGAGACTGTTTTTTTTTTCGAAAATTTGAATTTGTTTGTTTTTTAACGCTTCCAAGTTTTTTGCAGAATAGATTTTTTCTCTATTACAACTAACCTCCCCCACACCTCACAGTGCATTCACCAGCCGGAGTAGTGACCCACACGTACTCTGAATCGGAACTAGAGTTGTCTCCTATTGAGCGTCCTGAAGTCTCCCCCTCAAATCCTCTTTCCTTATTTGGAATGTAGAACTCGTACTCCACGCGAACACTGCCCACAGTCGAAGCACGCAGCTAAATTGAATCGAACAACTCTTGATTTGGTATCGCGCTTTGTTATCAATGTTTTTGCATAGAACTGGCTTTTAATGAAGCAGTAAAAGCTTTGAGCGCTTTTGAGAGTAGATTGCGCCAAAAAACCACGACTGTTTTTTCAAAACCTTCCAACTATTTTATCTTTTTGATATCATTTGCACTGATTAATTGGATTGTAAAAGACCTCCTGAGCTCACCGATACAGTCAAAGGAGTTTGAATTGGTCCTCTAATTGTGAGTTTCTCTTTGCCTTCATTTTCCGTCATTTTGAGCCCACTTTCTTCGCTAATGTCTAAAACTAGAACAAATTTATCAGTCAGTGGTTTTTTGCAATAGTGTATATCATAATTTATGTTCCGAATTTTGAAAAAAAAGTCAATTTGCCACAATTGCACCTTTTATTTTGAATTCATGGTAAGGGTTCTAAAAATAACATGTGATGATGATGATGATAAAGCAATGCCAGAAAATTAAATTTGATCGAAACAACAGTTTGTTGGCAAAGTTTTTGCACAACATTAAAGATATTGATGTCTTGAAATTGAACTTTTTAATGCGAACTTTTTTTAGTCATTCAGTTGTAATAGTTTGCTTGGATGTCTATTAAGAGGCATAAATCCCCATAATAACATAACACAACTTTTTTTGAATTTTCTAGAAACCGTGCGTACGCTTCAAACTGGTTCAGTAACTGCCTACACAATTTGCATTTTTTGGGGCAATGGCAAAGAAAAGCATGGAGAGCGGGCGTTTTTTATGAAAGGCACACTCTTTTTAAAAATGAATTGGAGCACTTTGATTCTGATATGAGCAATCTTGTTTACACAAAACGGCAGACTTGTTTTGCAGAATGGCAGAACTAGTTGATTCAGTGTTGCTTTTTTCGCGATTTTTTCTGCAGATTTTGTTTTCGACGTACTCGACTTATTGCTTTATTGAAAATATTGCAAACAATGTCTAAATTTAGATGAGCAACGGACGTTATCTGAGCTAAGTTGTATCACTTGAACTTCAGTTTTATGAACGTAATTCAAAAACAAGCAAGAAAAACCAAATACGTTCATTAAGTTTTTCAAATTTGACGACCTAAAACGCGAAATACGCAAAAAAAGTTTGAACTAAACGTATACGTCAAAAAAACTGCTTTTTCTCACTGTGTTTTCACGAATTTTGTTTTCTATTAATCCATTGCTTCATTGAGAATATTAAATAGTGTTCTTATTGTCAACATTACCAACACGATTTGAAAAATGGTAGGCAACAATTTTTCATTAATTGCGACAAAAACTCTATTTTTGGACAAATGTTTTGAAAAAAAAATCAATTCTAATGTTTGAATTAAACGTGAAAAAATTATTCGATATTTTAGCGGACTGAAAAGGGTCGATTGGCCAAGAATCATTCTTTTCTGATTAATATACCACTTTGTTTGACCTTGTACAAAAAGGGGCGGGTGAAACCTATTCGGGCTCTGCAAAGAAATTTATGGAAAAACACAGCCAGCTCGAAACAAAAAACAAAGCCAGCTCGTTTTTTAGCAGGTGAATAGATGAGCTTTAAATAAAGTAATTACGCTTTCTAACCTAAATTAGATGCTGTTCAAAACTCATTTAACAAACTTCAAAGAATTGGGTTCTAATAAAACAAGCGAAGAAAAAATTTTAAATGAAAGATTATGCTGATCTCTAGTCAAATGATTAAATTTATTTTTTCATTACACCAGCTCTTGTAGAATGCTCCGCAAAAATACTGAACAAAAATTTGCTCATTTCAAACACGAAGTCTTAAAGGTGAGCAATGAACAGCTGAGCTGAAAAACCCACATCAGAACAAACAGTGCTACAAAAGAGGTGATCAATTTGGGCGAGGACATCTTTAAGTTTGAACAGCCAAAATCAGTTTTTGTTCAAAGTGCGCAAGAGTCACTTCCAAAAAGTGGGAAAGAAGCACTTTGCAAGAAGCACTTCCGTAAACTCGGCTTTGCAGCAAAAATTAATTAAGATAACAATCATGGCAAAAGGGAGTAGAATCGCACCGAGCCTTGGCATTAAAAAACGACAATAAGAACCAAACTACCAGATGGCACTGAAAACTGATACACAAAACGACTAAAAATTAATACTGTCAATCGGTCAAACAAAGCCGTTAGCCTAGTACCAAGGAACCGAAAGACTACGTAGTAAGGACTGAATTTTAAAAACTACAAAACAGTACAACAAAAGAGAAGGAGTCCTAATTTAGCTCCAAGAGAGATTGAAAATCAAAAATCAAGCAGATCATAGATCAAAAACAAGTCAAAAAGCTCAAAAAAAGCCGCGACAACCAAATAAATAGCTTAAAAGTTATCACCATAGAAAAGAGCAAACCGAAGAAAGTAGCACTGGATACAAAACAGACCAATATAACTATGAAATTTAAAATAAGTGCTAATAATGCCAATTAGTGGGTTATTATATAACAATGTTGCACAAGCAGTCAGTTTTTCGGACAGGGAGCAATTTTTTCTCATATCATTGGATCTCAGATATGCGTACGCTGAAATCTCCCAGGGTAATGCAAGACGAATAAGGCCCGAAAAAGCAAATTTGACTCGATAGGAGAAAAGCGACTCTTAAGTATCAATTTCAATCGGGCATTTAAGGAATAACGGATATGCCAGCCGAACTCCAAAAAGCGGTTGGCTTAACCCTGACTAATTGTAAAAAACATTTGTGCGACCCAACTTAGGGACATAGATTTAGAGAGCGTATATCGAACCCAGCCATGAACCGTAGACGGACGCCACGCTGGCCATAGCAGACAGCGTTTAGTTTTTCCACATTCATCAATCAATAAAAGCAATGGGCAGAAATATGAGGTTTTCATAGAAAAAGATAAAAACCTAGAAAACGCCATAAAGGTAGGACATCATTTTGCTTTAGAAAAGGTAGTAAACCCAATGGAAAGTCAATTAGATTTTACAGGAGCTCTGACTTTACAGGTAAACAAACATACACACATTTTTGTAACTATAGATAATATCTCAAAATACTAACAAAAACCTTACAACACAACATCAGACGCGGCACTAAATGTCATGCAGAAGTACATTGGGGTACCTAGGAAACTGGATGCGACCAAGCACAATTCTTTGTGATCAAAAGTTTCAACTAAAATGGAAGGACAATCACGCAACAATTTAGGTCGGTTGACGACCACAGGGCTGTAGGTTCTATTGAGCACCTACTTCATTAATTTAGAACAAGACTGAGAGCAGGTAAAACGGATCCAAAAAAAACCCGTACAAACTAGCTTTGCTAGCTGATCGAAACACTTTGTACCATTCCACATGATAAAAAATTATTCCTCTTTGAATTGCACATGGGAGAATGCCCAAACAAGGTTTTGTCAAACGTTGCAATAAATAGTAATCAAAACAACAGAGTTGAGACAATGTAAAAGTGTAGAAAAAGTCTTACGAAAGAACTTTGAGAGACCGCCAGTAACACTAGAACAAATGTAGGATGAGCAATGCCGGACAAAAAAACAAAAAATGAGAGAATTGGGCAGAAACAAATCCTTATGGACAGCTCGAAAAAGTAATGATCCGACAAAATTTCAACAAATACACAAAAACTCGGGAGAGCAAAAACATCAAGTATACACCACGCATCTCTTGATTGAAATCGATCAGAAATCAACTAAGGTTTCCTACAAAACATTGGCTTTGCATTTGTTCCCAACCCGGCATCTTCAGGAACCAAAGGTTTACCCTAAGGGACAGCACGGCATAACAAAAGTTACAGTTTTCAGTCAACGAAAATCCAGATTTGCCATCACACGCGATGTTTTTGGAGACTTCCGAGGGCCAACACGCAAACAGGGGACGAACACAGCAAGTGGTTTACTCGAGGAACAAGGACCATCTGGTACTTAGTAGCTGTTGGTCCACCAAGGACGCAGGAAGGAAGCAAATAAAAAATTTGACAAAGAACCCAATTGGCGCAAGGATTCAACAACGCAAATCTCAAGGCGCACAATGTTCCAGTGCAGAGAAGAATATAACAGCAAGAGTGAAGAGCTGACCTTCAAAGCCCAGACAGCATGGAAAAAAAACTCGAGGAATCCCGAAACCAATATCAGGAATGATATATTCAATCTGCGCCCATCCTCATCAACCAAATCATCATATTAATGGCCTGATAAGATAGCGTTGAACTCGAACCTGCGCAAAAAGCATGGGACAGCAAGAAAACACTGCATTCATCTAGAAAATCAACGAGGAGGAAATCATTTACGTTGAAGACAAGATTTATAAAACGCAATCCCAGTCATCAGGGCCCGAAAATGAAAATAAATTGACCCAAACTATTGACGAGCCAGGAGGCACTGCCACTACAAAAACTGTTAGGGGAAATGGTACCACAGGCAGGGTAAAAAAAATGGATAGTGAAGAATTCTCAAATTCCTGAAAAACTGAGGGCAGAAAAGTGCAAGAATCTAGATGACGTCATAGATCTCTCCATAGGCAGTGAATCTGGATCAGTAATTTACATTTGTGAAAAACGACCATCATATGAGTGCATTAAGAAGAATCAGATACCTACTACAGAGTCGAAAACAGGCAAGACTAAGGAACACATGAACATTCCGGAACAGAAACGAAAGGCAGAAAATGAAAAAGAAGAAAGAAAAGGCAATAGAGAGCTCATCGGCGACAAAAAAAGAGGAGGAAAAAGAAACTCAGAGAAAAGAGAGAGAACGAGGGATAGAGAGAACAATTTAAGGAGAAAAAACTGAACTCTACAACTAACTTTAAGCGGGCTGAGGAGTATTATCTATCCGGATATGTACTGAAATGTTTACTTATTTTTTCAAAATCAATTTACGCATAATAAAAGTATTTATGCCAAATCATTTCTTCGGCCTAGAAGGCCAAACAACTCGGTGACCTTCATGACCCTAGCTAAAATCTAAATTTTTATTCATGTTACCGTAGAGGTGTCGACAATTTTTAATCTTGATATGAAGATGCACAGAACCTTACCACGCCGGATCTCTATTCTTCATCGTGAGAACCGAACGACTAAAAATTTCATTCGGAGTCTGAGCGGGAGTATAGATAAAAGACCTTAGGTAAAAAATGGCCTCACGATTTTTGCCCGACAAGACGGGTACCGAATTAGCAGCAAATATAGGCAAAAACCTTAATATCAATATTTCACCGTTGCAAAAATTTCCAGTTTTCCAATTAGTAGTGAACGTGTTTTTTGTTCAACTGTATCAAAAGTATTTAATTTAAACAATTAAGTTTCAAAAAACTTTAGCAAAGGAGCAAGCTTCTGTATTTTAAGGGAAAAAAGACTTTTCATTGGTTTTTCTCAATATAATGATTCAAAACGTTAAAATAATTTGGGCTTCAATTTTCGAATTAGCTTGATTATAAACTGTCTGATAGTGAGTCTACCAGTATAATGGATAGAGAAGCTAGCTTACCAAATATGTTTCCGTCCGTGTCCTTGGTCACGACAACTGATGTGGCCCCTGCTGGTATTTCTATCACATCCAAAGTCACTCCTGAAAAAACGCAACTTTTTTGCTCTAAAGTCCTTTAATGGATGAATTGAATCAACCGGTCCGCCAATATCCGGAGCACTGAAAAGTACTATCTATCCCATTACGGTTAGTTTCGGCATTTTTAATCACCAAATAGTTTTTGATGTAAGTATACTTCTTCTTTTCGATTGAGAAATGATTAATTGAAGCTAATCTGCGGTTCAAGCCATGCCATGCCACGTATGCAAACCAAAGTAAGTTTGAATTATTCGAAGAAGAAAAAACATAATGAGAAGAAAATTCTTACCACAAATTAGAAGTTGAATGAATGTCTACCTTTATTTGTGATTTGAACCTGGACGCCTCCCGCCTCTCTCGTACATGTGGATCCTTCGCCCCCACAAACCCCGCACTTGTCAAATCTCTTCTCAGACCTCACTATTCCATCGCAGCCCACTCTCTGAAAAAAGCCAGAGCTCTTATATTTATTATATTTCGGACTCGCACTTCGGCTTAAATTAATAAACTAAAAACCTGATGCCAATCAACTTTGGCTTCGCACCTGCATGACCAGAGGGCGCAGAAATTTTCGACGAGATGCGGTCTTTGAAAAAATTGGCGACTTATATTAGGCCAGAGCCATTTCAAAATTTTCTCTGCTCTGCTGAAGTCTTAAAATTATCATATTTTGCCGCAATCTGTGCGCCGCAGGCATTTATTTGAAAAAAAAAAACCGTTTTCCAGCAAAATTTTCAACCAAAAAGTCAAATTAGTATATATTGGCGATAAAGGCACCTTTCGAACTTGGTCGACCGAAAATGGATGTCTTTAATTGGTACCAATGGGGAACTTTAGGAAAATTTCGGCAAAAAGGGCTAAGAAGGACTGATACATATTAAAAATTAACTCGTATAATATCGTTTTTAAAGATCCTCTGAGAACTGTGCTACAGTATCACTATTTCTTAGTTTTATATGGCACGTTTTGAATCTCCGAAAACATTACCTTGCAAATGCCCTGTACGCAAATGGAGTTGATTGAACACTCGGTTCCATCGGGGAGGAAGGTTTCGTTGTAGACCCGGTAGACGCCCGCGTCCGAGAAACACGACAGACGGCACGACTCCGCCTCTAAACAAAATCGAATACACTATTTATTAGAACAAAATGAAAACACTACAGATTTTGATTGTTCATTAAAGACAACGCAACTTGATATAACAGGAAATAAATTGACATAGTATTATTGTAGTTACCTTATGTAAGGATATTTTTTTGAAAAAAACATGGTTAGCGACACCAGCGGATTTAGGGGGGGGGGGGCGGACGACGACCTCCCTTTCTTAGGGATTCGACCCCCTGCCGACTCAAAGGGTCCCCCGTTGTACTATTTTGAGACATCCATTTTTGGCTGACCGACCCTAAAAGTTTTCTGAATGCACCTCTGGCGCAAAAAAATACTTAATTTGAGGAGTGAGCTTATATGAAGAGCGACTGACACTCTACAGTATTAAAACTTATATCGATTTGCCTAAAAAATAAAACTACTGACCGGGAATGAGAGGTTTGAATGATCGGGATTTTTGTTCACACATTTGAGTCCAGAGAGAAGGGCCGACACAGGGTTGGTGATTGCAGGCCTTAATCTCATCGTCACACACTGTCTCGCCATTCACCATTCTAAATACATAAAACCAGTCAGTCTCTAGATTGATCAGTTTTGTCCAAAAAAATTTGCCACTGTGAAAGTGAACAATCTTCAAAATTGCGAAAGTAGCGAAAGAGTCATTTGAAAAGGCTAACTCACCCTTTTTCTAATTTTCGGCAACCCTAATTTCATTGTTTAGGAAATTAAAAAAAAAATTTCGGCACAAAACTGTTTCTTACTGATCTTTGATGTATTTTGCACTTATTTTTGTTTTACTCAACCTAGAAACCGATCAAACTTGTTCATCCCTCAACGTTCGACATCGGCCCCCTACTTTTACAATCCCGTTAAGAGAGACAAGGGGGTTGGCTTTAAGGGAGACAATAAAAATAGGAGTGGCCCAAAAGGAAAAGGCGGGACGTAAATTGGACAAGGGAGGGTGTAAAAAGGGTCAACTAAATTTGAAAAACTAGAAAAATGTATCAAAAAAATTGTGACAGGAAAAGTCTTCAACAAAATATCAGTGTTTCAACCTAAAGTAAGTCTAATTTTTGCACTTTACTAGGAAAACGTATGGTAAGCCAAAACCACTTGTTAATTTTTGAAAAGACTGCACTGAGTTTGTAATTTTAGACAATTTTTAGAGAAAAAAACTATATTATCAATAATGATTGATTACAACCGACTAAAATGAATTTTTTAATTGACAAAGAATAAGCTTATAAAACAAATTAATCGATTATATTTGACTTTTTTAAAATAACGGTTAAAAAATGCCTAAAATAACGGTTTCATATCATAATAAAAAAAAACAAATACGCGAAGCTTTTCTTCGTATCATTTTTTAAAAATTCTTTAAAATTTATTCTTTGTAACTTTTTAGCTGACCCGCACTCAAAAAAAGAGAAAATGAACGATCGATTATATTACAATTATAACTAAACTTTCATCAAAATTATAATTAATTATAAGCGCCAAATTTAGATGTTAAAACGATTTATAATCCATTAAAATGACAACATTTCTCGTGATATTACAATAAATTATAATCAATTATAAATTATTATAATTATTTCGAAAATCTCTGATAATCAATTATAATCTATTATAATAGATTATAATCCTTTTTTCCGCCAAAAATATCCAAAAATGAGATGTTTTGTCATTCTTTGGTTCATCTGAACACAAAGTTTTACCACGAAACAATAGTTTCATAGAGATCCCTTCATGCTAGTTGAAAGAATCCCGCGGTAGGTGAAATATAACTTTTCTATATAAATCATGGAACTAATGTGTGCTATCAGTGTGCTGATATTTTGGTGGTCAAAAAAACTTCAAGTGTGAATCATGAAACAACAATAATCAAGAAAAAAAAACGTTATGAATTTGAATTGATTTGAAAACTGTTAAAACATTTTCTCATTTTTTACATAAACCAACTTCTACAAAAAGCATAAAATATAAGCAATTCAGGAGGAAAATCGAAGACAAAATGGGCAAACAAAAGGGATTATAAACAATTATAATCGATTATAATGAGTTTGTTCTGCAAGACATATAAATTAGAAAGTTGGATAAAGATAATCGATTAAGATCGATAATAATGTATTATAATTGATTATATTTGATTTCAAAAAGAGAGATTATAATCGATTATTAATTGATTTAAATCAATTTTTTCTCAATTTTTTAAGACTGGTACAAAAATCATATTATAATCGCTTAATAACGCTTAAAACTGGATGCGGGGATACTTTTCTTTATTTGATAACGGAATTTTTTCGATTAACATGTGTGCGGTCTTCCTTGAGAAATTCCCCTAAAATGTTTTAATTAACCGAATTATTTACTCACAAGCATTTCTGCCGAGTGGAAACTCCTCCGCAAGACTGAGAACACGCGGACCAATTGAAACTCTCTGCCGATGATAGTACAAATAGGCAGACGACCTAAAATATCAAAAACATGGATAAGACGGCAATAATTGTTAAAAACATATCAAATCAAAATTTAGGGGTAAATCAAAACAGCTTTCAACAAAACTTGTACGTCTTATCATCAGCGCGCGCCATTCAACTAAAGTTTTTTATTGTTTCTTCTGAAGCTGCAGCACTTTTTGCTCGTTTTTATCTCGAAAATTAACCATAAAAGAAGGTTTCAATTAATTACATTTTAGATATACGAGAACAAACTTACCAAAGTTGCCAAAGTCACCAAGTCAAGTTCAGATTTCAGCCTCATCTCGAGATTGTTCGGAACTGTTTCCCAAAACGAAGACCAAATTAAATGGAAGGCTATCTATCTCCTATTTTTTATTAAACAAAAAGAGAAAGTTTGATCATAATATTTGGAGGCTGTTTGTGCCGGTTAGAATAACTAACCTTCTTAGTTGATTGATTGCCTCGTCTTTTGTTTGCCGTTACTGTAAACAGATTTGTAGCAAAGTTAAAGAGCTTTTTGCACCTGATGTTCAAGAAACCATCAAATCATTCTGCAGTGTCAGAGAAGCTAAGAAAATGAATAAGGTATTGAATTAGTATCACTTCGTAAAAATTATTCGATTATAATTTAAAAAATAGGCTAAAATTGAAGCTTTATCGTTGTAACATCCTCTCACAAACTGCTACAGGGAGAGAACATCCTCTCACTCGATTTTGACCGTATATAATTCCTCGGGTCGATGTTTCGGCTTTCAAAGTCGAGCATAAGTCAGTGCTCGACCGAAAAACAATAGTCGAGACAGGGGTTTCGGTCGAGCACAAATTCAAAACACCGCTCGAACAGGATCGAAACATACCTCGAGCACGGTCGAAAAATACCGATTGTCACGCGGTAATTCGGAGTCAAAAAGAAAAATTTCTTTCAAATACGAACATTTTTTTTTATTATTTCTGGTCAAAACTTATCTTGCTTGCGTCGAGCACAGTCGAGCACATTTTTTTCGGTCGAACACGGTCGAAACACACCGATTTTTGATCGAGAAAGTTGAAACATACCAATTTTTGGTCGTGACGGCCAAAACATACCAATTTTTGGTCGACACGGTCGAAACATAAAGTCTAAGGTCGGCCTGATATAAACATCGTGCGGTTAACGCCCTTGAAGTTTTTAATTCAAGGGTCTCTGGCTTGAAACTTACAATGATCAGTGCTTGGAGCTTGCGAAGTCCAACTGGTCTTTAAAACATAAAAAAAACATTGGATATAACATGAAAAATTCTTTTCAAAAAAATTTATTCATTTTATTAGGCTCTTATAAAATTGGGACTCTTTTACTTACAAGACGAGTGCCGAAGTTCAAAAAGCCGAAAGCTAACAAAAGTGACTCAAAAAACCAAAAAAGAACTGTTTTCGACATATATAGCATCTTTTTGACTTTTCGATGGGCTTAAACTTGGATTTGCTTAAGTGGAAGGAAAGTTTTTAAACTGCTTTAGTAATTCATGCATTGGCAAAACTAAGCTTGCAAACGGTATCACACGTAAAATATACGGTTGTGAAAGATAATTTTTTAAACACCAAATAATGATTTAATTAAAAATGAAAATGGTGGTAATCGATTGTATGTTATACTTGAATTAAACGACTCGATAATTACCTAAATTTTTAAGTGTTCATCTCGGTACAAACAATCAACAAATTTTGACAGTTTGTTTCACACAATTTTTATACATGCTTTATTCATATTAAATATAATTTATATAAAGATTGCTTACAGGACATTATCAGATCACATTCAGATCATTAGATTATATACAGATGATATACAGATCATATACATATTATCTACAGGTTGTATACCGGTTACATATAGATTGTATACAGATTTTATAATGATTTAATACATATTATATACAGATTATGTACTGATTTTTTCAGTTTTTATGCATAAAAATGGCATCTGAAGTAATTTCGCCTGATATCTTTTTTATTCACCGCTGGGCAATTGAGAAAAAGGGATCTCATGAAATTTATCGTTTGCCAACTCAGATTCTGGCACTCATGAACAGCACTCATGAACAGAACCGTTCCGACTACTGCGTTGATCACACGCGCGATCTTTTTTTGCTAATACTTTGAATAAACTTTTTTCTTGTGAATTTATTTTAGTCTGAAACTACTTGAGCTCCGTGCTCAAAAACTTTGGTTTGTTTAGACTTTTCGATTCAATTGAACCTTTTCAACAAATAAATAATTCTTTTAAAATTTTTTTGAGTTATACTGATTTGAAAAATGGTATGAGCAGAATTTGATTGAAGTTTTCTTTTGAGGACGATAGTCGGTTCCTCAATTTTATAACTCTACTAAGATTTTTGCTTTAAGTTTGAAAAATTTTGATCTTTGTTTTGTCTTGCGCGACTAAAGTTTGAAATGTTTTGACTGTGTTTTCGTTTTCGCGGCAAAAATGAGTAGTTTGACCTTTTGCTCCTTTTTTAAAAGCTTCTCGACCACAGAAATTTATTTGCACAAATGCACTTTCTCATTTTTTAGATTTTTTTTCAATTTCGGAGATCCTCATTGGCGATATTGGGATCGAAATGTAGATTCAATTAACTTTTTGATTACACTCAGGCGATAGGTTTTGTTTCAGATTAGGTTTTTCCCAAATAACTATAAAACTTTTTCTATTGAATTATAATTTTTTTTTCATAATTTTCAAAGTTTTTTGTTTTTTTTTATGAGAAAAATATTTTGTTCATAGCAGCTAAAATAGGAGGACCTTATTAAACTCAGAGATGCCTAACATACTCTGTAGGTTGAAACTGATTCTGTTTATAAGAAAACAAAGTTGTAACATAGCCAACAGAGAGTTGAAAAAGATTCAATGAACGCAAGTAAACAGAAAAAGAAACGGATTTAAATTTGTAACTTTTTTTCGAGCTTTATAGAAAAGTAAAGATAGCGATTGTATAGCGATTTAAGAATTGATAACATTTTTTTAACATGGCCCAGTGCCTCTGGGTTCAACGCATTATCACTAAGTGGAGTTGGAACAACATGGGTATCAGCACTGACGTTGTTTGATTGTTGTTGAGTTATCGTTTTATCTGCCACTACCTTTGGTCGATTTAAGGTTGAGTGATAATTTCTGCCACACATATTGACTTTGCGCCGCTTTTCAGATTTAAAAACGTTCAATTTGTGACCATAGAAACAGTTGAAGCCGAGCGAAGGAAAATTGTTTCACCTGCTCTTTTCTTTTGTTTACTGAGAGTTTTAAGAACTCTGAGCAACGCCTCAAATAGTGGTTTTGATCAATCGGGCAAACAATGCACTAAATCGCTACTCAATTGGGCAAACAAACAACTCAACTAAGTAGCTAAAAGTACCTTAAGCATCAGGTTAAAAGAGCGTGAGTTTTTGGAACATTATAGGTAGCATCATTATCTGCAACTACACTTGATGGACTCATATCCAAAAAAATGGCCAATTTAATCAAAGCCCAAAAATCCCAATCAAAATAATTTTTCAAAATAGAAAAATAAAACAAAAAGTAAAGCAAAAGTAAGTTCGAGAATTTTTTTTTCATACTTTTTTTTGTTTCTTTTCTCTATCTTACTAAAATATTTTGTTGGCCAAGTTAGTAGTTTGAATTATGTGAAAATATGGAAACAATATACTGAGTCAGGGCATAAATTGAAAATATAAAATATAGCCATTAAAAGGCTGGAGAAGTGTTAAAGAACTTACGATAATCTTTTTTCTTTTAAAATTAACCCAGTGAGAAAACTGGATCATGCGGTTATTCTTAAGTCTGCCCGAAAGATTAAAAATCAAACAATAAATCGATCTTGGCGTTTGTAATTACAGAGTAATTACATTTGTAATAACAGAGTAAGTACAGAGCCACCAGACAGTTGGCAAAGATTCAATGAAAGCGGAGTTAAAACAAAAAATACGGAGTTAAATTTTGTAAACTTTTTTTGAACTTCATAAAAAAGTATAGATAGTGTTAAAACTCTTTGTAAAAAATTTCATGATTGACACTTTTTTAAAAAAAATTATCCCAATTTGAGAAAACTGGATCAATACTTGAAATTTTTATTTTGCTGGGAAATTCGATGAATAAATTCCTTTCGAAACTAGAAGCCTTTTCCACTTTCGATACTGGAGTTTGCCCTTCTTCGACAAAGGAGCGACTTCCTGGCAAAAAACGAGAGAAAAATGATCGCGACCTATTTAAGAGTATGAACTACATTCATCTACTCACTCTCACACGCTCCAGACAATAGAACGTTTCCAGACAATAGTGTTAAGACCGTTCATCTCTTTTGAGTTAGGACCGAAGTGTATAACTCATAGAGTAATTTCGGATAGGGTACACCGTCTGCTCGTCACGCTATCTTATTTTCGGCCGGATAGATTCGTGCAACTTCTTAGTCTAATACCAATCCTAATCTTACTCTTATACTATCTAGTCTCAGGTTGTTTAACTAGTCTCTGCTAGGCTCAATAGATCTAGGGTATACTGGTTTATTGCGGTTGCTGAAGTCTTCTTGGAGAGTCAACTAATTTCTAAGTTAAATTCAAATCTTTCTGGTGCTGAAATTACAAGTAATTTCAGCACTTACAAATAAGTGGATTGTTAGTCAGATGGATCATGATTGGTTAATATTAAATACTTTACATTGGTAAAATATCTAATTTATCCAATCATAAAATGTAGTTTAGATCAGGTTCCACCCATCCGGGTTTTACAGAGTTTTTTAGAATAGTCTTTCTGTAATTCAAAGGATGGATGATGGACGTTGGTATTTGGCGAACATCATATTTCTTCTGGGTTCTCTTGTTAGAGAAGTTCCAGGTTCAATCGTTGTGTTTTCTCATGACAACGACTGGGTTTTCGCAACAAGCTCAAATCTGATTTCAGAATGGTTGGCTATGTCAGGTTTTTCTGTTTCATTGATGAGAACTTCTTTGTGTTTGATCTTGTCTGGGAATGGCGTGGAGATTGTGCGTGGAGGGGATGCCTGGTTACTCGGATCTGTACGTATACTTGAACATCGAGGTGGTCATTGGTCTAGTTCAATGAAGTCCTTTTCTGCGAAGTCAAGTCGTACTCTAAATCCTTTGAGTTGTGATTGTGGGCGGCATATTGATTGTGGTTGGCCATTCTTTTTCGAGTGTAGTGGGTTCATTTTGTCTTTGGATGTTCGTCTTTGGTGTTGTATGCTGATCTATATATTGCATAATATAATTTACATTTTATAAAACTTTTATTAGTTTAATGTTTTTTAATTATGATTTTGGTTAGTTGTTTTCACAAAAGCTTTTTGTTTTAGTTCAGTTATTTTGAAGAGTTACTCA